GGCTCAGTGGAATAAGCACTTCCCTGGCAAACACAAAGGCCTGAGTTCAATCCCCCATTCCAAAAAAAAAAAAAAAATCAAATCAATTCAGGACATTGAGGCAGCCAAGAGAGTGGAACTAAAGACATCCGGGACAAAGAATTTCCAGACCTGCTTCAGAAAGTAGCAAGAAGGTAGCAAAGGGTGATATGTGTTTAAAGGGAACGGAGATATTTTAAAGGGCATTAATTTTTTTTAGCTTAAACATTCAGCATATTTTTCAATCACGCCTCATATTGAGAGGTGGAGCTTAGGGAAGTGACCCGTCATGAATGGGATGAGTGCCTTCATAAGAGGCTCAAAGGAGCAGCCTTACTCCTGTCACATGATTATGCAGCCAGAAGATGCTATCTTCTTTAAAATAACAAGTTTTGGGCCAAGGAGATGGCTCAGTGGAATAAGCACTTCCCTGGCAAGTGCAAGGGCCTGAGTTCAATTCCTGGTTCTGCCAAAAAAAAAAAAAAACAAGTTTTGCACTTAATGTAATACTTTATTCCATGAAGTTGTTGAGCAGTTCAATACAAATAATCTTTTTTTTTTTTAAAGCTTTTTCTTTTATTTATTTATTTATTTGTGTGTGAGGCCAGCTCAGCCCACCAGGGGGCGGGGCTGGCTGGCATGTGGTGCTGGGGATTGAACCGAGGTGACTGTGTCCTGCCAAGCTTGTTCCAAGTAGGTGCCCCAGACCACCGAGCCATCTCACCAGCCCCCATAAATAATCTTTTTAATCTTTTATTTATTTGGTACAGGGTCTTGCTACACAGCTCAGTCTCATAGTGATCCTTCTGTCTCAGCCTCCTCAGCGCTGGGGTTATAGGCATACACCACCACCCCTGGTTTTGGTGGCCAGCACAGCATGCCTGGGGAACAGGAGACCATGCAGTACCAGGGATCGAACCCAGATCTTTGGCTTGCCAGGCAGGCGCTTAGACCACTGAGCTATCTTCCCAGGCCCAAATGATCTTTTTAATATTAGATACTGTAGTGGATTTCAGGTGGTCAAATTATTACACCCACCCGAATTAAACTAGCGTGGTACTGAGTGCGGGAGGCCAACCTAAGGGTTTTTGCCAGCAGCATAAAGGCAGAACAGGAGAAGGTGCCAAAATACTGTTAGGGGGCTGGTGAGATGGCTCAGTGGTCTAAAGCACCTACTTGGAACAAGCTTAGCAAAGCACAGGGACCGCGGTTCAATCCCCCAGCACCACAGGCCAGCCAGCCCCGCCCCCTGGTGGGCTGAGCTGGCCACACACACACACACACACA